ACAGTGTCAAAGGCCTTACTGAAGTCCAGTGAATACGTCCCAAACTGACATAAGTAAGACACAGACTCACTGAGGCTAACTGGGCCAACGAGAACAAGTGAGGGCTGCACTGTAGGAGGGCTGACGTTGATAGAAACAAGAGCGGGGCTGTTAAGGAAAAGGCTCTTTGGCAGCATGACCTGGTGCACAGGAATGCTGGGCACAGCCACAGGGATCCATCGAAAAGGTAGGTTTGGCAGCCCTAAGCAGGATGTTGGCAGAAAGGCAGCCTGTTCTGGGGAAGCAGACTAAACACAAGGAAAGAAGATGAAAAGAGGGCAGAAGTGCAATCAGGTCTGGGTGTTGGCCAACGCCGAGAAAGCTTCCATCTGAGCTGGCTGGACTTGGCCCAGGAATTCACAAGCTCAGGACTTTTGCCTTTTCTGCATCTAGGTTTCTATTCTGGGTAATGTATCATCATCTGAAGGTCTGGCTCCATTATCTTTGTGAAATCTTCTTCTTAAGGATCAAGTACATTACAGAAATACCGTCTAATACCAGACAGATGTAAAATATCATGAAAAATGTTTGCAAAACCTTCTATACTATGTCAGTGCCATGATGCCTATTTCCAAATCATTGGTTCAACGCAAGGACTGAGCAGTAAGCAAAGCACTAATTCCCATCTCTCTGCAAATTTGTCATTCACATTGGTGCTTTCTCGCCTTTCACATATTAACCATAAACACAAGTTTTTTAACCATAAACACAAGTTCACTGATGATTTTCTAATTTTAGCTTTATACTGATTCCTAACAGCATCAAAGAAGGGAAAGCTGAACTGAGACATACCACATCCTTGTGAATTTGGAAATGCTTTCCCAGGAGATGAAGTTCTTCGAAACCCGCTTCTACATCCTAGCTGCACACTTGGAGACAGATCAAACTCTTCATCCCGGGGAAAATCAACGAAAGAATCTCCTAGGAATTGCTTGGAGTCCAAATGCAGCAGAAAACCACCATCCTTAATCTCTTTTATAAATGCTCCAATGAGATTTTCTCCAACAATTGCATTTTCTAAAGGGGGAAAAAATACAAGAAAATAGCATGAAAGAAACTCCCAGTATGGGAACGGATAACCACACAGAAACTGATGATCTTTAAGTTAAAAACATAGGCAGATACAGAAATACAAGCATGTTAGCAAACAGCAGACAATAATGAATCTGTACAGTGCCTATCAGATTAAAGTCCTAATCTCAGTATATGTAGAGAGGGCTAAAGAAACAGCAAAAAAAACCCAACCAAAAAAGGCATATTCAAAAACTAAAGCATCAGAGAACAAAATTTTATTTCTGAGTTACAAAAATTCAGCAGATGAAAACCAGGATTATCTCACATTCAGATTTAATTTATTCCTGTTTTTTCAATGGGTATCATTTGCTTCTTTTTCAGCGTTTTGTTGGTTTGTTTTTGAAAGCCAGCATCCGTAACAGTAAAATAATCACCTTCCATCACACTACTGATATTCACCACACCCACCTATGCAACAGACACGCTCTTCACAATTGCTGAAGCTGGTGTTGAAAGCTGGAAATCAGCGAATTTACTGTTTTCACATCCTACTCTCTCTATTGTTAGTTGCCCAGACAGCTACCCTTTTGATGATTTGTGTAAGGACAATTTTCAGCGCTAGATCAAGAGAGAGTTCCCCAGTTTTGCTGGACCAGAAGTGCTACAAGAACAGTGTTCCCAGTGGATTTTTTTTGCTATCACACTCTGTTTATCCCTGCAGGCTTTACGGCATTGAATGAAATATTGGTGTGGTTTACTGCTTCAAATTTGCAAGACAAGGGCCTCCTGTAGCTACTGGTGATGGGCAGCCCAGTGACGGAAAGTTCTACACACTATATACCTTGAGTTTTGTGAGTACACCAACGACCTTGGACATTGAATTTTCACAGAGAGGATGTTGTATACAGAAAGAGAGTGTGAGGAATGTTACAGCTCACACGCTGTACAAAGATTATTATTTTGTGACTGATGTGTCCAAGGCAAATAGCTGAGGGTACTGCTGCCTTCTCACGTGGCGAGTTTCCTAACTTTGCACTGTAGCTCAGGGTGGCTTTTCAGTTGTGTGAGGAGAGAATTTCACAGCCAGGTACAAGGCTCTGGTGACGCGGCGCTGCCCTCCTGCCCGTGCTGAATGGACCGCAGACATACGATGCTTTTTCTGAAAGGTCATCCTAGACCTTTAATACTGAAAGTGTAGGTGCCCTTTCTTCCTGAATGTTGGTCCGTAGCTGATTGCTGTTGTATAGCTGTTGTTTCCCCCTTTGCAGAGGAGGGACACGAGGTTTTTACACTCATGGTCTAAAGTGAACAGACCTGCATTAAAGCTGACAGCTGTGTCCTCATATTCTCAATGCTTGGTTTCCTCCAGTGTTGAGCAACCTATCCTTCTGCACTGACACATATTATAATCAGCAAAATAGCGCTTAGTTTTGTTCAACCCCAGGTCAAAATGATACTTAGTTTGCAAGGAAGTAATTGGAGATCACCACATAACCAACAACACTTCGCAAATGTTTTGCCAGAAATTGTCTCATAATTGAAATCGGGAATAAGCAGATTAGCCTTTTAATCAAGCAAATATCCTTCCGAACTGTCTAGTGACTAGCTGGAGCAGAATTAAAAATAACCTTGAAATGACAGCTGGAGAGAATTCACATGTAAAAAAGCAGCAAACAGTCAAACCAGTAAGAATCCACTTAGGTCTGCTGAATTTCCTTTAGTCTAAATTGTTCCCCTGTGTTGAAAAGTTCTCAGCACTATCGCTAAATGTGACCCTCCTATGACCACACTATGTATCCATGCATATATAGTATCCTTTACATTCAGAGTATATAAACAAGTGTTTACCTGTAGTAGACATGTTCATGCATTGCAAATGGACAGGTATGTCCTGTAACGTCTCAACAGAGAACAATTCAGTGCCTGTCAGCATGCCAGCCACAGGCTCCCTGGTAACGTCTTACACGAGCTGCCTTGGTTCAGCCCTTCCAGCATGATTGGACAGCTTGGGGCCACACTGCCCTGCTGCTCCAAGATGAGCTTCCTGGGACCTTCAGCATGCTCCAAAGCATGGCAGACGCAATAGTGCTTCCCTGGTTTTGCTCCTGTTTTGCTGCACAATTTTGGCAATTCAAGCTACTGTGCTTCTCATACTTTGTTAGATTTACTGGAAGTTCTTACTAAGCATTTCTCCAGACCCTGGTATACCTTTAGGGACCTGGACTTCTGAGCGGACCATACATCTTTTCACATACAGAAATAGCCTGCAAATAGTTGCACCCTGTGTTGTGCAGTGGGAAGAAGTCTGATTTAGGATTTGCTCCTGTTGAACAAAACACTAATTTTAATGTGAGAGCGATCATATCGTTACCCAGAGTTTATATTGGCCAATGAGAAAGTGAGAGAAAAGAGAAAGAAAGAAGTAAATTTGTTCTTTTCTTTTTTCTTTAAGGAAAATACAGAGCACAAAGACACAGCTTAAAATATCAGTTGTATAGAGCAGGGATTGATTTCCTCCTGTCTCACTGATGGGAAATGTTTACTCTATGTTCATCCACCAAAAGCTCATTTTTATAACCATTAGTATTTTTGCCTGTTGAACAGAAAAGAGAGAAGTTGCTGCAAGTGTTCCTCACTATTTTAGAGCTGAGGCCTAAGCTACAAAGCTAAATGGCATAAGATCCTTCAGGAAGGGATTTGCACAGCCTCGGAATTTAATACGTGAAAATATCTGCAAGAAAAAACGTAATGAAGCATTCATGAGTGTTTTAGGTTTGAAGCTCTTCATTGGGAACATATGCACGCTGCACTTCTCTTTAGCAATTTTCTTCTCAGCTACTTCAAGAGCAAGACTTCTCATTTACCCATAAAGAAACTAGGAAAAGAACAAAGCTATTTTAGTAATGTAGATTTTCAAATCGGAGAGCCAGTTTGCTCACTCTGTGTAAATACACCAGAAAACACCTCAAACAGAAAGACCCAAAGCTGCCTTAGAAGGTAATGCAAGTTGATGGTGCCAAGACGATACAGAGAGCAGGTCCCCAGTGTCTGATCTCCCCAGACTAGACTCATACTGCCTCTTCTGAAACCATACAGTCATTCCCTGGACAACAATTTTAGTACTATGGGGAAATTATAGTGTGGAGAGGATCAAAAAATGTAATGCACTCAAAGCATTCAAAAGTAAAGTTTAATATAAAACCAAACACACTTATACTTTGATCCACCTTCTGCAAACTGCTTGAATATTCCTGTTTCCCTTATAATCTGGAGCAACTGAATAGATGTAAACATAAACAGACTGTAAAGCCAGGAACCACACAACCACTGCAGCCGCTGTCTGCGTCTTGAAGGCTTTTGACCTCGGTTCTTATCTGGCAAAAACTGCTGTAGGACGCAAGTCTCCAAGTCCCAAAGTTAGAGGGAAGGACACGTGCAGGCAGAGGTATTTATATTTAGTGCTGGGAACACCACTGCAAAGCAGTAAAACTGGAGAAAAACTGGTGCAGAGGGCATTTGATCTTGGGATGTGTCTTTTATGTCTTTTATTTTAAAGGAAAACACTGACTGCTTTGAAAGAAGTTCCTTACACCATTCCTAACTCACTTGGAAACCACAGCAAAGATCTGCCAGTCAGTGGTCTCTGCATAATTGCTCTAGGACTTCTGAGGTAAGGGTCATTCTTCAGTGTCAAACGTAATAAATAGAAAAAGAAAAGGACAAAAAAGACAGAAATGAAAAAAACCAAACCTTGGAAAAAATTAGTTATATTTTTGGCAATGTGTGAATTGTGCTTCTCTGAGTCCAACCCAATAAAGAACACAATCTTTTCCACCACTAAGGACCTGCCCACTGGACATTAATATCTGGGACAGCTCAGCTCATGCCCGATAAGGTAATTTTCACTCTCAGTTAAAGAAGCTGGGAGAGGCAGTCCTATCTGAAAGAAACATTTAATTATAGCTCTTTTCCACTGTGCAGTCACAGCCTGAAAAGATAAATATATCAACACCAAAAGCTCAAAAGCACAACTCCAGCATTATAAAGACTCTCTCTGAGCATTTATACTACCTTGTTAGTGCCTCCTAAGAGCAGACACAGGGAAGCAAAACAATTAAAAGCAAAGCAGGCTTCACAGAAATATCAGCGGAAAAAAACTTACCAATATCATGTAAGTCAGGGAGAGAAGCTGCCGGGATGTTTTCCAGCTGAGTCCTCCACGTGACGTTCACCCCCAGGCGGTCCACGCTCAGGCATTCAACATAGACAGTGGAATCATCACAGACAGAAACCGAGTCGGTCTTTCCAAAAGCAGTTACCTTGAATTCAAAATTAAATGAAACCACAGTTAGTCAAGAACCTCCTAGTTCTCGCCTTTCCCTATTCAATTGCACTGTGTTAGGCTAAAAGGCAACATTTTCAAAAGGGTCAGTAAAAAAAGAAATAGAAGTAGGAAAAGATCATTTTAGCAGGTCATTTACTCACTGTAAGAATAGTCAAAGGGATCTTTTCCATCAAAATATATTTTTAATAAATATTGGACTGATGTGATATGACCTCTATGGCTACAATTCAGCTGATCTGCCGATGTGGGGCCAGTGAGATTAAACATCCTATTTTCCCAGCCATCCATATGAGACAGATTGACATCTTGACAGATTTCGTGGCATTTTCTGCTCTTTCACCTCCCTCAAACAGGCAAAGTTCTACATTGTGCCTCACCATTTTTTCTTAATACAAAAAAAAAAAACCAAAAACCAACCACCAAATAAGAAAACCCAACAACAACAGAGAATAAGGAATTGAAATTACCTGGAGGTGACATAAACCGCGAGCCTTCAACTCATCTAAAATAAATATCTGGAATGCCTGGAGTAATCCAGAGTAGTCAGAACTACAAGTCTTCTCAGGAGGCAGTAGTAGTTGAAAGTGTGTTTGAGCTTGGACTGTTTGAAGTAATTGGAGCTCTAAAACATAAGTAAAAAGGCCATTTAGTAGCCTCTCTATTTTAATGTGGAAACTGACTTTCAAAGTTAATTTGATAAAAGACAACATTGATTTGGCATTTTGATCTTGCATCAATAGCAACTCCCCATTTCCAGGTGAAAGCAGGAGAGTTGTCTGTAGTAAATAATAAGCAGCAAGAGACATGCTTGATAAATATGTATGTTGTGCGTTAGAGAAAAAGGCAGGTGATATAGTTATATAACAATAAAGACATATTTTACATTGGAGCACTAAGTCACAGCAGTATAAGGAGCAATCTGGATCATTAATGATGATTTTTTATAAGCCTTGGCAGATGGGAATTTCCAGAGAACTAGATGAAAGCTGACGTTATGCCAATACTTAGAAAAGAAACAGGAAGACAGGAATTATTGACCTGTCAGCCTCTGCTTCTCTCAGACACAATCATGAAAGAACTTCTATTTAAAAAGGAATTAAATGGTTAAAGCAATTAATACTAATTCAAATGGGCTTTCAGAAACCTAGCTTGTCAAATTAACTAGGAATCAAGTTTTAGGAGAGAATAAATTTGATTGCGTAATAATGGCATTGACGTGGACATCTACAAGGGCTTTCCAATTTTTTGATAGCAAACCAGAGTGACGCAAATCACACAAATAGATGAGAAACCCATGAGCTCATCAGTCACAAAATGAAAATCTATTTAGCCACTTTTTAGCCAGAATAAAAAAGGTGCAAATTTCTTGTCTCCACTGGAATTAGGCTGATCCCAGGCTTCACGGAGGCTTCGTTATCTCAGATTGAGCACAGCGGTGATGCTGTCATGCCACCTCCAAATGGAGCTGCCTCTTATCCCATCAGCCTGGAGAAGCGGCAGAGCTCTGCCTCATTCACCTCCTCTACAGACCCTCGCTGCATCACGTACAAGTGTCACTGCTGGAGCACAATTCCGTCCCTCGCTCCCAAAGGGAGTGAACAGCGGGAAAGCCTGGAGAGTGTCCTAGAAGAATAGTTGGAGGGACCAGAGGACACAAAAGCTTGCTTCTTCCTGCAAGCCACAAAGCCTTCTATCTGTTTAGCTTATCAGAGAGTAGTTAAGAGCTGACTTAAGCACAATCCCGAAGTGTACACATAAGGAACAGGAAATAAGATGTTTAAGAGTGTGGGTAATTATCCATTGGAACAAATTACTAAGTGTTGTGGTGAATACTTCATCGTCGTGAAGTTTATTCAATCGCCTTCAGATGTGTTGGGAATTTTTTCTCTCTCCTTAAAACCATGCTCTATTTCAAACACAAATACTGTGGGAAGTCCTCAGCTTGCATTAAACGGCAGCTTGTATCAGATTGCCACACACTCCCCTCTGGCCTTACAAACAGTCGTTCAACTGCCATCAGGCAAACATGAAAGTTACTTCATAACATGCTACAAAAACCTAGCAAACATGATTACAGACAGAAATAAGTTTCAGTCTGAAATTTAAAGTTTAAAATCATTTGCATTTGGAATAGAAGACCTGGGGTACAGCTGGAAATGTGTCAATACAGCGGTTTCCAGAATGGGTTTAACCCATTCTGGAGATGAAGAGTAGTTGCAAACTTGGCATCAAGATCTGCATTTCTCAAAGTTCAGCACTGGTACAAATTGCCGTTTTGATCAGAAAGTATCTCTATTTGAAATAATTGAAAAGGCCAACATTAATATCCGATTACACGAGCTCTGAATAGACAACTGGTTCTTCCAAGAGTTAGAGTGCTGTTTTTTTCTTGAAAGAAAAATGGTTTGAAAACTACCACAAGTCAGCCAACAAAGACAACAATAATCCTAAAGAACAGACTGCTGCAAAAAGACGCAGAAGTAACAGTGACTTGATTATGCAAATAAACAGTCAAGTTCTGCCAAATTCAAACATCTGGTGCTCATCTGTTCTTCCAGGACTAAGTAGTTCCATCAGAATCACTTCATGGTGCCTGCATCTTCTAACTTGCAAAGAAAAATCTACATACAGATTGAATAACTATTTATGCTATATTATTACAGAAAAGCGGGACTGTTTCTGGAATAGGAGCTAGTCAAGAGACAGAGATGAAAATGGCAGAAGACAGGACTAATCTACTGTGCCTTAATTTAGCAACTCCCATATAACTGTTGTGTCCTATTATTGTACTTCACCCAGTAGCTTCGTGATGAAAGCGCGTTTTTTGTACATCTATTGACATTGCTCTGCGCCCTTCCCAACCCACCGCAATTCAGACATACTCTGGCAGGCGTGATAGAGCGGGGCAGCCGAGACCCATCGATGCTGTTGCACATCACACTGAAACGACGTGCTGGACGAGGCGCTGTGGAAGCCCTGGCGACACACCAGCCGGCACTGCTGAATGCTTGAATCTTGCCCAGAAATGTTCTCACAAAATACAGCTCCGTTGAGAACAGAGGAGGCACCGAATGGCAGAGCACACTGTGGACCTTTAGGCACATGGAAAAGGGGATACATTAGTGGCATACTATGAAGCACTTCTAGTAAAAAGTCTGCATAACCCTCCTATCAACAGAGAAAACCTAGAAAGCACCCTGTGCATTTCCCACTCATCTCAACTTGGATCTGGTTTGATGTCAGCATGGTTCAGTTTACTAAAGCTGATGAAAAGACACATATTGACTTTGATGGGTAATGCATTGGGTCCAGAGAACTACGTGCATGGTTTCTAAGAACAGATAAGTTTAAAACAGTCATGAATAAATTTAAGCAGGAAATGAGAAGGAGGTTTCTAACCATCAGCAGAAAAAATCTTTACAAAAGATATCCAGTGGAAATAGGGAGGGCCAAAAAAAAAAAAAAATCTCAATTCCCTTTGGAGTGAAGTTTGAAAACTTTAAGATCAGGAACTCATGACTATGGTATCTTCAACAGCACCAGGATGTTTCTGGTGACTCAGCAGGTCCTTAACAGTAGTATACAGCTTTGGAGTTGGAGCACAAAGTTTACCCTATCAACTCACCCTGCATCAATACAGTCATTTCAACCCTGCTAAGGCACTGTACAGACTATTATAGCAGGCTAACCACAATGATAATTAATTTCTACTAATTAGTATACAAACCAACAGCTTCACTCAATATTAGCCAAATCCCAACCTAATTACTGAATATATCTAGTAATAATAAAACACTTCTGAGTTCTAGAGCTACAAAACATAGGAAGAAAAAACAACTTCCTCACTTAGAAATAAATATAAAGAAAAAGGTGTTCTCATATCATACAATTCACTTGCTTGGTGTATGTATAGATCATTTTCCAAACACCAATGCTCAGATCTGTCCCAACCTCCCTAGTCACTGGAGGAAGGCAAACACTGCTGATGGTTCAGGTCTGAGCAGCCTCTCTCTCCCCTTCTGATGGAGATATGGAGACTAATTCCTTAACTTAGCCGCCACTTCAATTAAACCTTAAAAGATTGCAGGATGAATCTGGGATCCAGTGTGCACGGTACATCTTTGTTTTCCAACCCTGAGCATCTCAATGCCAAAATAAAAGGCTTTCATATCTCTCTGAATTGCCAAATGCATTTTTTTCCAAGTGTCCTTTATAGCATCTTTTCTGCAATAACTCTGTAAATGGGGCCAGTACATTCCTTCTCTTCACTCATTGATTCTGTACCCAGTCTCCTTTTCAGTAAAAGTGGAAACCTGGCATCCTTGCTTAACAAAATTTTAATAAACCTCCCGAGATTTTAGGACCAAAAGATATCACTGTAAAAGAGATAGTAATATTTATCCTGGCCAATGTAAACTGCATCCACCATTATGTGTAAATTATATTAATATCTCTTAATAAAAACTATATAAAAATCAGTCTATGTCTCTTTAGCGCTCTAACAAATTTCTATATCCAGCAAGTCAAATCCAGTCTCAGCCGTATGCTGCTACAGTCTTTTACTGTCTGTTCCAATGAGAGCTGGTATGTAAACTAGAAAAATAACCAGCCCCCAAAACATAAGTGATGGATGGTTCCCTGGTGTGGTTCACAGGTTTCAGTTCACAATCAGTAATTTGCTCATTCATTCCTCTACAGATGTCATCTCATTTACTGTGTTATCAAGCCTGCACCATTTCGTCATTCTTCTATTTCTGCCCCTATTTCTCGGTCCTGTAAGAGTGAATCCGGTTGAATATTGACACTTTTTTCATAGGTGTTTCTAAATATTTCTATAAGGAAATTACTGTCTCCAGGACCTTCTCTGGAAGGCTTTCTCTCCTCTGCCTCCACTCAGAGCTGTGGGAAGTGGGCATGAGGATGGGAGATGCGCATGAGGACTGCTAGGATACTTGGCATCATCTCTTCAGTGCATGTCAACTAGAAAAAGTGGGATTCTACCTCTGATGGAAATGATTAAGCTAATGAAAACCTCATTGCATGCACTGGGCACTGTGAAGTTATTACTTGCTGTTTACAGCTGTCTGTTCTGATGTCGGAGGAGAAGTTTATCATATTTTCCCACCACAACAGCTCCTTTTGCTGATAAGACAAGATCTCCAAGATAGTGAGATAGTACTCCCTTCCCTTTTTCCTGAACAATTGTTAGTAGTTCCCAGGACTAGAGGTATAAGGCTGGATAGACTGAGAGGAAAAATAACTTTTGCTTCTTTATTCTTACACAATAACCAAGTTGTTTAGCCTGAAAAAGTTCCATTGCTATGTCAAAATCCAGGAAAATCATTAAAGATTATTTCAATGGTATTTCTATGCAGAAAATAACAAATAGCTTTCAGTAAAGCCAGGTTTCCATCATATTTTCAAAGCAGTTCTCTCTCTCAGCTCAGTCTTTTAAAAAAGAAAGGTCATTAATCATTCAGTCACTCTTTCTTCTAGGAGAAGTACAGCATTACAGGATCCCAAGAAACATCAGATGTGCACACAAAATGTAAAATCATCTTAGGGGCATATCTCGAGGTACACCTACACCCTCCTTAGAACATATTACATAAATTCCCTTGGAATTTAGGGGGAAATCTAGAAAATGAGCTTTTATGGGGAGAAGGAGATATCAAGGACTTAACATTTACAACTAGTTCTGACTTTTCTCTAGCCTACTAGAAACGCTTCCACTTTTCCCTGTTCACCTTCAGAGTCTATGGGAAAGTCAATCCGTACTGCTGAGTGCCGGATGTTGCGCTGAGTTCCTCCAGCTGGTCCAAACAAAATAAATATCACGCAGCCCTGTGGCCCACAGAGACAGTAGCCCATAGCCTGAAAGCAGGATGACAGCAGCACCGTACTTGTTAGACTGAACAACTCTGCTTCTCTGAAGAGCTAGAAACCTGCATTGGACTGCTACGCCCACATGGCTATGCCACCCTAGCTCTGGAGCTCATCTCTTCAGAGCTCAGGTGGGCATCTCCACACAACACCACACTGCATGGGGCAGATACAACCCTGGGGTCTCCTTGTGGCTTCTCATAAAATCCCATCTGCATAGCTCTCTACTGGTACAAGAAAGTTCAAAGAAAATGATGCTGGTGGTTTCCAAGTTGGCTGAGGAGTTCTCTAACTGACTAAAATGCCTTACAGCCAGTTGGGCTGACACAATCAGGTATTTGGTTGGTGAGCATGTGTTGCTCTTTATATAGCAGAATCACAAAAGGAAACCAAAGCAATTTCTCATCACATGGTCTTGTTTTCCTAAATCTACCAACAGCTGTCATTTAAAAAACCCAAAAGAACCATGGAAACAGTAGTGTCCTGCAGGCACTAGTTTCTTTTTACATCTCTAGTTTCCACTAATCATTACACTTTGGAGCATAGCCTTTAGAAAGTTTAATTTGTTTTGCTTCACTTCAGTGATGGGGAGATGTATAAAGGTCATTGCAAATTAAATTTATACAAATACCTCCCATTTGGACATCTCATTGGAAACCATGAGTGAATTCCAGTGCTTCGCAGCTCTGGTTATGCAGGAAATCCTCTATGAATATGTAGTGTTTTGGCACATCCTTTTCACAACTCTGGTTACAAGCCAAGAATAGGAATGGCAGAAACATACATTTTTCAAATTTTATTTCAGTCAGTTGAATGGCTTTTAATCTCATAGCCAGCTCAGACTGGAACAGGTTCAACTTTGCAGCAAGCTGTTCAATTGACTTTTTAGCTAAGCTTAATAGCTCAACTGCTTTGATTTAACCAGTTTTATGAAGAAAGAAAAGTCAAACATCCATTCCCTTCTCCTTTCGTCCTGACAAAGCACTCAAAGAAAACGGGACATCGTGCCCAGGTAGGTCTGAAATCTGCTATAACACAAAGATAACCATACCTCTTGGGCAAAAGTCTCTGTAAAGGTCTGAACAAAGAAGCTTAAATACAACTAAATACTAGAAAAAGTTAGGATCTGGGTCAAGTTCCAGACCTGGGCTTGCTCAGAAGCAATACGCCTCAAGCAGGAACTCACTTGCGCATGCAGGTCTTCCTCCGCTTACTCGTGTCCCTGGCACCTCTTCTCCATTGTCAAAGACACACCAGCAGCTCTCTTGATCCTGGCTGCACTGCACGGGTGAGAAAGTCCCGTTGTCCCCTTCACACTGTGGGATGTAGCCTTTGCCAGCTTCTCGTAAACCAGTTTTAGACTTCAGCATGTTACAGAAACTAGGACCTTTAAAGAGAGAAATTCATTGCAAGATACAGAGCAGAAGACAATAAACTCAGCATCTGCAGAAATGAACTATACTAATGTACAGAATTGTCCTAAATATCAGTGCTTTTGGCCTGTTTTGTGTAAGGAAGAAAGGTGAGTGATCCTGAAGCCATAAATAATTTGAATCGCTATAGAAACATGGAATTTTACTTCTGCTAGAAAAAATACATTTTTTTCTAGAAATTAAAGTGCAGTTTATATGGGTTTGCATCAATAAAATAGTGGAAAAAATACTGATTTTTTTTTATATGAACATCTTTTTTTGCCTTAAATTTGATAGTGTATCATTTAGATGCTGATATTTTAATTTAAAAAAAAAAAAAAAATCAAATTAATCTTTTTAATAAGAATTTTTGAGCAAGGTCTTTTTAAGTGTAACAATACTATTATTTACATTTTAAAATAGTCAAAATGTCCCAGTTTAATACCTTCAAAACTGGAAAAAACCCAACCACGGAACAGCAATATTTATGGTCTCCCACAAATAAACAAAAGAGGGACATGAGCATGTGGAACCACGACAAGAAGATCCAAAAAGTTCAGTCCAAACTTGAGACAAAGTTGGTTCTTACTAATTTCATTCGTCTGCTTGTAAACCTGTTTAACGAACCATTACACAATTAATTCCTCAGTGAACGTGCAGTTACTTATCATCCCCTGTTGCAGGTCTTCATGGACTTCTATCATTAGCCCACATATAAGAAAAAGAAAGCAGACTTGCTGCGTCAGATGAAAGTACTGTCCAACTCACTATCTTCTCCTGAATAATTATCTACTCTGTTACAGGTGTTCCAGGAGGTTTGCCTGAAACCAGCAGATTATTCTCCCAGATTTTCTATGGGAGATGGCAAGCAGAAAATCACTAGCTAAAGAACTGAAGAAACAAGCACAGCAGAACTGTAGGCTTTTGGGCTGCCTGTACTGCTCAGAAGAGCAGAGCCAGTGCACAGGCTCCAATACGGCATCCCAGTTCCTACGAGCAGGCATTCTGCAACTTTTTGGATCAACCATCTCCTATGAGACCTCAACAGTTCTCTGTCTTTATTTGAAGACAATACAAAGGTATTATAGACCTAATTGCATTCCATGGAGCAGTTGTGGACCGTGTAATATGGACTCACTGACTTGCACGTGGCCCAGTTCCCACAGTTCAGGATTCACTGCCTTAGAAATCTCATCCACAAGCCCAAAGAATTTTCTATGGTGGTAAGAAATGGAAGGTAAACCAAAATGCCTAGAAGGCTGTTCATCAGTTTGTCTAGGCTTGTTTATTTCTGGTGTCATGAAAGTAAAGGATAACTATTTTCAGATACAAGCACATCAATATTGAAAGGGTATGTACCCTATCACTGAGGAGTTAAACTGTAAGTCCCCTGTGTTTCACGGGCATCATTCTGAAAACGAAAGTACATATGCCGCAAAGCGTGAGGCATTGCCACTAGCGTCACAGGCTGTGGGTAGAGCATTACTCACACTTAGGACTGCCATCCAAATCTTTGCTGCCATGCTGAAATACTTCTCCTGACACAGGATCTACACACCAAATATCCGTGTCAGATGTCTGTAGCACAGCGTATTCTCCTGCCTACAAAAAAATCAATTACATATCATTGCAGAGCAATGTACAGACACACCACGATCCATACCCCAAAGGTTGGTTAAAATATTTGATTGTATTTACATTTGTCCATTAATACAACACGTTGAAAAGAAACAGAAAATATTAAAATACAGTCTACCTAATGTAATACACATACCAGGCCCTGAGAGCAGCAGTATGCAGACTGAAATCCCATTGGGATGAAGTTCTGGTATAATCTTGGTTTGAAATGTCTGTTCCTTGCCCATCTCAGGGTTCCATCCTGCTCACCGTCATGTTTTGAGAGAATCACGGACCCTATTTTGGGATACCTGCATCCAACTCCCTCTCATCCTGACATTCTCTCACAGCTCAGGAAGAAAGAGCCCCCCAAATGTCAGTCAATTCCGTTGTGCCTTTTAAGCATAGCCGGGCAAAAGGACGAGGCAGAGCCACCCTGCAGGAGGGCAGCATAGGCAGGGACAGAGCTTCCTATTCCCGATCTTCACCTCAAAACTATTTAAATTCTGCCTTATGGAGGGCAACGCCTGTTGTTTGTTTTGTCTTACCCTTTTCTTTCAGGTTAATAGGAATGCACAAAGGGATGCTTAAGGAGCACAGACTGAAACGATATGGGCCTTTGGCATGGTGTAAGCAAAACCGGGGAGGTTTTGTTTCTTCCTCCCTCAGTCATGATAAATCACCTCAAGGCAGTAGGGGACAAATAGATCAGCTGTAGAGGCATCCTTACCGCTCTGTCTCCAGCTGGAAATTAAGGCATTGGTTCGAGATCGCTGACATGATGTCTGGCCTGTAAGAGGGAAAACATACATGCATGTTAAAATAAAATCAAGTTCTCAAACCTAAGCTGGAGAAAGGGGTACATCCCCAGCAGCTTCGCACATCTCCATTAGGCTCTGGTACAGCCCCAGGTAGGGAATTCCTGATCAGTGCTTGATAACCACAGAACCACAGGATGGTTGAGGTTGGAAGGGACCTCTAGAGACATCTGGTTGGACATCTGGTCCAACCTCCCTGCTCAAGCAGGGCCACCAACAGTAGAGGGTCCATTCTCAAATCATGCAAGCCAAAATCACACATAGTGAAATTTAAATGAACTAGCAACGCAAGCATGAAATTCCTTTTTCGTTTCTTGCAATGGTTAGAAATAAACCTTGCCTCATGCATATCATACTAGAATTTTCAATAAATATTAAAATTTGTAAGAACAGGTAGAGACAAATATTTAGGAAGAAAAACCAACTGACATTTGGGAAGTTCTGCTGAGCGTGAGACCAAGGAATCCATGACATAACGTCCTCTCTCATCCACGCACCAGCAATGACCTGGCCAGGGAAGAAAAGCAGCTTTAGTTTAGATGTTTACTGCAGTATGCTTTGTTGCATACTGGGAAGATTTTCATCCTCAGCAGCACTATAGAAAGCGGTCAGTAAATCTAAGTCTATCTCTGCTATCCAGAGACAATTAGACCACACCTGAGACCAGTGGTGAGAATGGAAATGTAGCAGCTCTGGCGAGACTCTTCCATTTTAGCCCTATCCTGCAGCGTATCATCTACTCCCAGCAATTTGGTATCATCCACAAACTTGCTGATAGTGTACTCCTTCTCATCGTCCTGGTCATTAATGAAGGCATTAAGCAATACCAGCCCCTGAACTGACCACCGAGGAACACTACTAGCAGTGAGCAACTGAATATCGACTGATTTTTGAGCCCCAGTGAGCTGCCACTTGAGTCCCTCACTCCAGTCAATTTTCCACCCATCTTGTAGACCCGCTTCACTTCTCTCCAGTTTGGCTACAAGAATACAGGTTTTCCCTGGTTCTATTAGAATTCTGCTTAGCTTTTCTTTGTTCAAACAGCCCAGAGTATTTTATTAGCAATTGCTCACCTGTGCTCTCATAGCACTGATTTGGCTCCCAGTTTCCTAGGCCATCACACTGTGGGATGTAAGGGAGAAATCCCAGCTGCGTTGCTTCCCCAGCAGAATGTTTTGAAGTAAAGTGACTCCGCCAGTAGAAATGCAAGACTATAAAAGACAAGTAAAAGAAAGCTATTAGTGGCCAACACAAGATATTTTAAATGCACAGGTTTGCAAACACCTGAATGTTCCCCGTCCTTTAGAAGGCAAAGGAACAAATGCTGCAAGTACATAAAGGCCGGTAAGTGTCCAAATATTATATATGCCTCGTGTCATACATATAAGACAACTGAAATCAGCTCTTGGCTTGGCAGACTAATTACACCTGCGGAGTTGCAGCTGTTTTTCAGCAAAGTTGAATTTGACATAGAGTACTCTTGCACAGATCCTGGGCATTAATCCATTTAATTAAGCTCTCATCTCTCTCTCACCTACCTGACTGTGCAGCCAGCTGGAGAGCATAGTCACTGCCCGATAACAGCTTTTCAGAGACCACCACCTCCGTCTCATAGGGCCGAGCAGAACGTAGGAGGTCGTTGTCTGTGAGCTGTATTCCCTTTGCCATCAAGAAACTTTCTCCAAAAGGGAAGTGGGAACTATTTGATGCTAGGATGAGCTGCTCTGCCTCCTCCATAAATTTCATGGCTTCCTGCTTAACACCTTCACATATGCCAGGACCTGTAGGACCAGAGGGTATTTTAACGCCTTTCATCTAAATCCAATAAAGATTTGCATGTGAAAACTAGCTGGTCTTTTAATTAGCCTCTTCTGTTTCCTCTTGCACTTGTTCAGTTTTGAATTGCTTAATGAAGCAAGTGAACGAGACCCGTCAACACTTAGCTATACAACCGCAAGAGTCCAAGAGTACCAGGAATCACCCAAACATTCTCCAGGTCTTGGGCCAAAGCCTTGATAATTTTAACTTACCTCCTCATCATTGGTTACAAATGAAGTTATATGTCTCTACAGAACTGTCCCTCAGTCACTGTCATTAAAAAAGTGGATAATCAGAAAAGAGTGAGAAAGGAAACTGAAGATATATCCCTTGGATCCAGACGGGCACCTGACACTTGGCCTGTCTTCTCTGTACATCTACTGACTCAAATATGGCAATTCAACACACCAAACCAGCTTAGTGAAAGCTTCTCCACTAAAATAACTCTCTGCTAATCTGCTTTGTCTCCTTCATTCCCCATTTGCCCACAAGACTGGCATCTCCAGCACTCCTTGCCCATTTGGAAGTTTGCCATTCATTGTCCTGTCTTTTCCTCCCAGCTGGAAAATTACTATGTGATGAGAATGGTTTTAGTGACTACATTTATAATATAGGTCATCTGTTGAAGTAACCCCAAAAAGGGCCCAACAGCTTTGGTGGAGATGTCTAGACAGAGGGCTTACCAAACTTCACTGCTGGCCTCACTCTTCTCCTAGTGACTTCTAGGTGATACCTGTTACTCTTGACTGCGTAGTAAGAAACAGTAAAGAAAATACCTCTTGCCTCATTTTAAGACATTATTGAAAGTCATTTACATCACAGTGTAATCGTGATTTTTCCATACAACTCTTCACACACTGTTTCTAACTTCAAAGTGTCCTTTGTGGTCTGGTTAAGTATCTTCTGTAAAAGCATTATATGTCCAAATTCCAAATTATAAAATCTACACAAACTTGATGTGGAACTTTAGTCCTCCTTATTCCCAAAGCTGAGACACAACTATTTACCAAAAATGAGTTACCCCACCTCTGGTGGCCAGCAACAATGGCAGTATTGACGAACTTTCCGACAAGTCATTGTCTCATACCTCACAGAACTTGAAAGACTTTCCTCTTGTGGCATAGAAGCAAAGACCAGAAACACTGCTACTTATGTGCCAGAAATTCTGTTACTTACATGCTGGGACCTGGTTCACTTCTGTCTTTGTTCCTTGCAGCTCTTCTCCTTTGCTATCAACACACCAACAATCACGAAGTTCAAAGTGGCTTAATGGAGCGCTGAAATCAGTATAGGGTCCTGGGTAATAGGTCAACTGCTCATTCAGAAGCTGCCAGAATGTATATGGATCCAGTAAAATGTTCTCAGATGCATAGGTCACGTTTCCTTCCAGCACTTCAGGTGGGATATCAGTGAAGGAGGAATACGTGGTGAATGCTGGGAAGACATTCTGGTGCCCAGCCTCATACAAAGCTTTAATAAAAGCTGAAAAGCCTTTGGAAGATGCCTCTTTATATCCAGTTATGATGTTAAATAGATTAGCGAGGGGCAGGGGTTTGCCTTCATTGTTCTCTGCAATCCACCTTTCGTACCACTCAAAGGCTTGCTCAGAAGGTCCACTGCACTGCACCTGCCTCCAGGCACCATCAGCATCGCACTGCGGGAGGTAAATGCTGGAGAGCTGAGCCAGGGCGCCTGGATCTGACAACAGGAGTTTCACAGCCTTTAGGAACTCCTGACCAGCTGTTACTTGGCAAGCACTTGGGCCTGGGAAAAAGAAAACATGCACAGCATGTCTTACGAATGCACTGAAGATATACAATACTAGTACTATAACACCATTACTAAAACTTTGTCACTTATCCCAACACTAACAAGAATATTTCTGGCTTGTTATTAAGAGGGCCAGTACTATTAAGCTCCCATGCTAAACCAGGGTAAAATTTCCGAAGGAATGTGAGCACTGAAAGATGCATATAGATACGATTTTTTTAAAATATTTGAGCACATTAGGTGCCTGTAGTTCTTCCGGGGGGGGGATAGGTGCTTGATGCCACTAAATGCCTTCCTGAATCTGTTCACACCAACTAGGTATGTTCAGATACACTTGGTAATCTGGCAGTTAATTCTTATTCAGCCAATCCCTGCAAAAGCAACCATCTGAATAGTAGGATAATACTGATTTTATTTCCCCTTGGATCTAACCAGAATTTTCAGATTCTGTTGTTCTCTCTTCCTATTCTCTACTGAATATTGCAGCTGAATATAAAAATATCATTGTTCAAAATGGTGGAGTGAGTTTGGTTTTGAAGCCTTTTCTGCCCTCTCCAGAGCCAAATTTCATTTTGCCACCAAGCAGCTCTACAAACCTAGCAAAACATAGGAGCTCTTCTCCTTTTGAGCACCAGAGAATTATGAACCTTTTTATTTTTGATTGCACTACAGATGGGTTGTTAGATATAAATCCCCTTCCAATTCAGATCATTGCGATAAGTTCCCCACTACTTCTGTAAACTGCTGTTCAAAGGAGCTCCTTCACTATGTACCACTATCACCTGCTGAATACTCTGCTATTCCTTCCAAAATGAGAAGCAGGCTCTTCTCTTGGTCTGTTCTCCCTGTTGATGTGCCATTTTCAGTTCACAGAAACTTGAAAGACAAATACCCCTAGCCTATGTGCTTTCTTCTTCCTTCGTATTACATTACTAGAAGGGCAGAAGAAGCAGTTCATAGTCTATAAGCAAGTCGCAATGCCAAATTGATGTCTGACAAGTCATTTGCGACTCACTTTTCTGGCCTGACTGCATGACCTTATGAGAAATCCATTAGCCTTTGAATCCCTCTCCTATGTTTGGACTCCTGTGACATCCTAACAAGCTGAGGATATATTCTTGAGCTAAAAGACTAAAAGGTTCATGGTTTAAGGCACTGAAGTTCTTCAGTTCTCAGGACAAGGATGAGCCGGTGACCATGCCCAGGTGACTTGGTCCTGGAAGTAAAAGGCCTTTTTCACTTGGCATGGGTCAGTCAGTTACGCAGATGCTCCAGGTCTCATGGGCATCACAGATGTTATACACACTAGCTACATACTTAAGTAGAGATAGACGCCAATGACATGCTCTTCAACAAGGCAAGACCTCAGACTCTTCTGTTTTGAGTGTGCCTACCCTAACCCCCTGAAAGAAGAGGGGACCGTCGTTAAGATTTAGGATATCAAGGTTTACATACACTGTATTTCCCACTATTCCCCTGCAGCCCTGCAACTGTAGGGCTGACTCGCTTTCCTGTTAGGGGACAATATTGTTTGTATACATCATCCATACATTTCCAGATATAATCAGATATGAAGAAAGAATCACAAAATTTCAACACAATAAGGAAGCCTTTTTAAATTCCCAGTCCCTAGGACTTACACTGCATCGGCTTTCCAGCGATTCCCCTTATTCCTGGAATAGTCTTGCCATTCAAATCAACACAGAAGCAATTTGTCCCATAACACTGACGTGGCAGAAAGTCTCCATCCTTGGTACAAGAGGGAATAAAAAGATCTGATCCCGCAGGCAGGCTTTGCTTCAAGTTTTGCAGGTTTCTCCTTTGCTTCTCACAATCAGTGGGACACCTTGGACGTTTGCCTTGAACTCTTGAGCCTGGAACTTCCTTACCTGAAGTATCTGAACACCAGCACTCTCCTGCATAGCACTGAACTTCCTCGTACCTCCCCTCCTTGGTGCATGTTGGAACAAACAGGTCCCTTGGCTCTTCACCACAGTCTTCGGATCCCAATGCTAGTTTCACCACTTCACCTAAATCTTCAGCAACGCTTTTGGGGACAGAAATCACTTGTTGAAGAAAAGTGAAGAACTCTGGTAGTTCCAGAAGAGAGGAAAGGAATTTCATCATATTCTGATTGTCCTGGAGAGTTACTGTGCGGCCAAAGCTGCCTACAAGAGGTTTACTCAAAATGGAGCTCCCCTTTGATACCTCCAATGAAAATGCCTCAGCTGATTCCAGAAGGCCTTGGCCGTTATCCCTCTCTGCCACATCCTCCTGTGGGAAAAAATGGCCAATGCTGTATTTCCCACTAGTGCCAAGTGCCCCTGTGAAGTTAAACTGGATTAAATTCTTCAAGAACTTTCCTCCAAAGAGGTTTTCTTGGAAACGCTTTGGATTGGCAGTAAATTGCAGTGCCACTTGAGCCAGTTCCCTTGATGGGAACATCCCCGTGATGGCTTCACTAAGGGTGGTTTCTAGCCCAGGAATCTGGCTGACATATGGGCTTTGTGCAACTGGGGATGACAATCCAGAGTCTAGAAACAGCTCTTTGAAGGAGGGAGGGCAGGGTCTTGAGAAGCCGGCTATTTTTTCCAACTGCGTATCTGGCACGGAAAACAAATTGGGCTGACTGAAGTACCCAGCAGGGCCATAAAAGATCCTTGACAAGGCCTGTCGTCTCTCAGAGATGCACACTTGTTCTTCACCTAGACAAAGGTTAAAAAAAAAAAATGCAAATTTTGGAACTTCCAAAACCTGTAACTCTATGGCTATCTTTGAAACAGTCTTGGCAGAAACCACATAAAATTGTAGTTTAACCTGACTCTAGTTCCTCAACTATACATCACACACATTAATAAGGAAATTTGAACTGTTGTTGAACATGTTCTATAAATAAAATTCTTCAGTCAAGACACAAAGTGAAAGGAAACATTCCTTCACCACGTCTGAGTTGTCTGCTCTGTAGTCTTTTTCTGGTTCTATTGTTTCCCAATATAAATCATGTAAATCTTAATTCCTGTTCCTATGGCTGACAGAACGAATAAAGCCTTTTCCAAATATGTTAACTGTCTAGTAGGATGCCTGCTTTTAATGAAAACCTCCGATGATCCAGGCGCAATATGTGAACCTAAGAAAAAGAAACAGACTGCAGAAAAACAGAGAGTTATTTTAACCAATGCCCATTAATGAGGAATTTGTGGAGGCTTCCTACCTAGATCTTCAGTTTCATAGTGAAGCGTTCATTACAAGAGGTTTGAAAAGAAACTGTTAAAATTAGCAGTAATAGAGTGCTAAGGACTAGATGCCATTCACAAATGAGCTCTAAAGGAAAAAAATACAAAATTTCAACAGAAATAGTCAAATGTCAGGGTACTGACGGTACCAACAGTGTCCCTGGCCACCCACAACCTGGGCCGAGCTCTGTCACAGGTGTGTCTGCATCCAGCCCCTTCTCTATGTTCATACACAGACAGCAGTGCCTCCAAGTTAAGTGTCCTGGTTTCGGCTGGGATAGGGTTAAATTTCTTCCTAGTGCTGTGTTTTGGATGTAGTATGAAGAGAATGTTGGTAACACACTGATGTTTTAGTTGTTGCTAAGTAATGTTTACGCTAGTCAAGGACTTTTCATTTTCCTGTGCCCTGCCAGGTGCGCGGGGGGCTGGGAGGGAGCGTGGCCAGGATGGCTGGCCCAGCTGGCCAATGGGCTATTCCATACCATATGACGTCATGCTCAGCATATAAGGCTGAGCGAAGAAGAAGAAGGGGGGGACGTTCGGAGTGATGGCGTTTGTCTTCCCAAGTAACCGTCACACGTGATGCAGCCCTGCTTTCCTGGAGATGGCGAAACCCCTGCCTGCCGATGGGAAGTAGTGAAGGAATTCCTTGTTTTGCTTTGCTTGTGTGCGCGGCTTTTGCTTTCCCTATTAAACTGTCTTTATCTCAACCCACGAGTTCTCTCACTTTTACCCTTCTGATTCTCTCCCCCATCCCACCTGGGGGGAGTGAGTGAGCGGCTGGGTGGTGCTCAGTGGCCGGCTGGAGTTAAACCATGACATTAGGATGCAATCATCACTGAAGAAGGACCTCTGAAAATGTCAGCTTAAGGCTCAAAAGACATCAAAAAAAGAAAGACTTAGTACATATAAAGACACAGACAGGATGGTTATGGCACTGACTGGATCTCTGGAATGCACGCAGCAGCTTGAATCATGTGCCACACGGTTACCTTTCCTTGAAAAGCAGCAGAATTATAGGGAAGGGATGCAAAAATATTTTGAGGACAGAACAGCTTTTCCAGTAAGAGAAACTATTCAGCTTTGGCAAAAAAATATGATAAAGGTTTTTAAAAACCAGGATTCTCCACATCATTCACAACAGACAATTATTATTCAGTATTTCTCACAGTACAGGAATTAGAATGAAATTTATTGCCAGAGGACGCTAGGAAGGATAAAAGGTTAAAGAGCAATTAGGCAAATCCCTGGAAGATGGCTCTACAGAGGAGTGCTGAACACAATGATCTGCGTTCAGCCTCCAGTCTGGGGACTCCCCAGCCTGCAGGCAACAGGGAGGATATATGGAACCTATACGCATTTCCCATATTTCTCACGCTTTCTCCCTAAGCACCACTGCCGTCCCTGAAGGGGACAGGATGGTGGAAAAACAGCTTTGGTCTGCTCCAGCATGGCCTCCCTTGGGCTCCCCGCCCCATCCCCATTTATTCCACATTCAGGCAATACGATAAAGCAGTTATAAATCCTGGTAACAGTAAGGATAAAAGCTGGAAATCTTTAAAGCTGCTAAAATAGATTAGCAAGTAATCTGAGGCTCTGTGATCAGTATCTTTCTTATTCTTCCTTTCGCACCCTTGTCCTGCTCTGCAGGTCCTGGCAGGGGCTCAGGGTCCCTCACAGTGGTTCCTTTGTAAAGGCATTTTCTGTAGGATGGGCCCCTTCTGTTTTCAGTATTGGCTCTTGGTAAGAGGGATGAAGAACTTTCCTCTGGGGACCAATAAATTAGTGTAAGCCACAATCCCGCAAGTATGTTAATACGAAACAAATGTAGGATCATGGTCTTTAAAAGCTCTCCCCTCCTACCCACTGTTGAATCAAGTCAAAGCAGAGTGAGAAGGAATAAACAGAAAAGCGCTGCTGGAGTGAATTTACTGTAAAGGTCTGAAAAGGATCATGTCCCTGTCAGGACTGCCTGGTGCCCCAGGTCATGCGAGTACCTGACATGCTGCCCACACCTACATCTCTGCCTCCTCCAGTGTTCACGCTGCTGAGTGTGAGAGTCGAAGATATTAAAGAGAAATAAAACAGAGCAGAACTGGAGACACGCACATGGCATGCAGCTATATCCTCATGAAATATGTTCTCGGGAGTTAGTCTGCAAAACCTCTGCAGAAATTTTTCCTTGCTTAAATTTCCTGAGTCCGCCAATAAAAGCTGCAAGCCGCCTCAAGTCATTGCCCGCCCCGCCCCCCCCCAAAAAAAAATCATCAGGAGGGCTCAGCAAAGCACATTCGAAGAGAAAACAACCAGTCTCAACATATGGCGAGGCCTCTCAGAGGTTCCCTTGCAATATCCTTGGTGATCAGCCTCGAGGCATGCTAATATTTTCATTTCACCGTAAGCCTGTCGGTGCCCAGAGCACTCCGAGCGACTTGCAGCCGTGACACCCAGGGTAGATTCCTCCTTCTCTATCTGCGTGGTAAGACTGCATCTCGCAGACAGAGCAATTACCTTCCCCAAAGGCGGCCCCCGCATTAAGATCTTGTTCTCCCCCAGCCCTCCAGCGCAATCCTGAATATTTAGGTAGCGCGCTTCGGAGTGAAGGTTTTTAACTTTCCTCCTCCCCTCCGGCCCTTTGACATTTCTGCTGTCATTTCCAATTGGGGCACTGATTTAATGGTGTCTTCTTAATGAAATCTCTCAAAGCCCAAACCATACACCTTTTCCGAATTGTTCGGGGGTTTTTTACTGGATTTGGCAATTTTCATGGCCAAATATGCAGTGACAGAGATGGGAAAAAAAATGTTCGGGATGAGAGATGCCTTAGAAATTCCATAGCATTTCACCAAAGGAAGGAGGTAAAACCCAAAACCACCATCACTGGCTTCCTTATATTATCCCAGATATTCTGACGTAACGCCCCAGCCCCTGGAGTCAAGCGACTGATACAGCTGCAGAGAAAAGCCTTGCTGTACGCAAAACTAAAAGGCTAAACAAAGGTCATAAAGGAAAATAAAAGGAATATGATATTTAATAATTTATTAGAATGGGGCTTTTAACCCCAGGGAGGTTTTTCAATCCCAGTTTTTGAACACCAGAATCTGTCAGAGCCGAGAAGGGAACTGGTCCTTCAGGTTTCTTTCTAAAGACAAAATTCCCGCAGTGGATGAAGTGTTTGGAGAGGGAAGGTGAACAGGCCTGGCTTGAATTTGGAGCATACATGGATCTACAAGGCAACGGTGCTTGTTAGCTCCTGTTCTCTTCCTACATCTCCCACAGACCAAGGTTGGTCCCTCGCAGACACCAGCTGGAGGAAGCTCCGAAGGGCAACGGCTGGCATTTGCACCACGCTTCGACAATTAGCATCAAATTGTTGCCCCCATTTCCCTTTGATTTTTCCAAGAAAAATAGAAGTGATGCACACAGACTGGACTGAGTAAATGAACACAAAAGATGTCCTTGTTCTTCCTTTTCCAAACCTCATACATACCGCAGGCCGAGGGCTGGCCTCGTCTCTTTGTGCCCTGGACCTCTTGCCCTTTGGCGTCCGCACACCAGCATTGTCCTCCCTGCTGGCACTGGGCTGGCGCGTAGCTCCCATCAGCATCACAAGACGGCACGTAGGCGTGCTGGTAACGCAGGGCTGCGTACCGCTCAACCTCACACTTTGAGGGGCCTGGAAGAAAAACAGTATGCGTTAAGGAGGGAAAGCTTAAAGTTTCAGAGTCACCTCTGCTTGAGCCCATCATTTGACTATTTTGGGGGGAAAATAAAAAATAAAATTTAATTTCCTGACTGTTTTCAGTGAAACTTCAAGTACCAGCCCAAAATGCAACAAATTCTCCATCCTCTTTTCCCCTGGAGAATTGGCCGCAGGGTTTTCTGCTGTAGGTATCATTTCTGAAAACTAAACAGAAAATAAAACCTCAACACATTTTTCAGCCATAGTCATGGGTAGGCAGAGCAGCAGCATCTGCTGGCAGCCATGCTGGAGGCTAGGTGAGCTCTGGCCCTTAATGCAAATGCAAAGCTGGTCAATAGAGATAGATGTGCAGCTTGGGAGACCAAGACGCCAATAAGGATCAGTGTTTCTGGTGAGAACAAGGCATTGCTCCTGCAAAAGATCTGCACCTGACTGTGGAGACTTGGTCTGGGACCACCCAATTTCTTTCATTTCCCTCCGCAGGGATCTGAAGACCCTATTCCTGACAAACTGACCTTAATGGCAGAGGAGCCAAAACTCCATAAAGCAAATTTTCTGAGTTATGATCTCTCCAATACTAGACTCCACTCTTCCAACAGAAATTTTCCTTGTTTATATAAACGTGCAATCCTACAGCCTAAACATTTCTCACCTTCAAGAGCTTTCCAGCTACACTTAGCTACCAGGTTGAGGCAGCAAGAGCATCACATCAGAGCAACCTGTTCATCATGGAAGTCTGACAACTTTCCTAATGCATGTGACTTCAGGTGGTGGCGTGAGATCTGGGTAAGTCACCAAAGCAGTCCCTGTCAGCGGCTGAGGAACGTGATCACATCTCCATCTTGTGGCTGTTACAGCTTCATCTCTGCCGACAGCCGCTGGATCCCCAGCTGCAGTCAGAGCTTATTGCACAACACTGTGCAGTGGGAGGGGGGACATGCTTTCCAGACTCCCCAGAATGATCAGCTTGTCCCAGAAATAGAAAAACCGTGTGACTATGTGGCCAGAAGACTTACATCAGTATCTGCTTAGTATCTCTGGTGATGCAGCTCCTTAGCGAGGACAACAATGCCAAAGGAATTTGGATGGGAAGATGAAGGATCACACCAGGGGGTTCAAACTCCCCCCAGCCAAGGCAATTCTCTTGGGCTCTGGCGTAGGAGAGTGAAGGAGGTACCTGACCTCCTGTCCTAGAGAGTTCACGGCCCGTAGGCAGAGGAACTCTCTCCCCATTTGCCTGCCCCGACCGGGGAGGGAACGGACCCAAGGGCAGATGCAGAAGTTCAGCCTTGCTGGCTAAGGCACTACAAACTCTTGCGTAGCCTCCTGGGGATCGAGTGTCTTGTGGCCAATGTAAGATCCTTCCTATTTCTGAGTCTACCCCCATAAATTAGGGAGCATTTTCTCAGGCTTTTAATTTAATAAATCATCAGATCCATCTCCAGAATCTCAAGACAAGAGATACAGAGAGTTCATGGGCTTTCAACTAACACAAACTTCAAGTGCATGGGAAAGCGCAGATCAGAGGACATGTACAATCTGTTGACAAGAATATACAATCCAGAGATTAAAAGTCAGCTGCAATTCAGGGACCTTGATTCTTGCACTGAAGCTGTGATATTATATGCTTTTAGTGCAAGAGACTCCTAGAACAACTCTCCCCAAGGGCAGCTGTCACATATAATTGTCACCTTATTTACAAGGTGTCACCTCGGTGCTACTTACATCTGAACTTGCCAGAGGTAGCTAGCTGAACCCCCAGAAACCGCCTCTGCAGGATCCGATATATGCTGGTCTCCGAGAACATGCGGGCAGGCTCCAGCGCAGAGAAAATTGTGTCGTAAACTTCATCGAGCAGCAGTTCCAGGCCTGGGAAAGAGAGACTTTTAGCACAGAGCCTGGGTTTAAGACTGAAGTCACCTGCTTTACACCAGAGTAGCAGATTTGGAAGCCTATCAGGAAAAAGAAAAACCAGTCCTCTAAACAGGCCAAATGTGAACTTATACCACATAACCCTAATGCACCACACCATATAACCCACTGCCGAGTGCCCAGTCATTATCTTCATGTCTTGATATCTACCAAAACAAGCAGGAGGAACATCCAGTAACTGGCACTGTGCTGTGGTTTTGTTAGGTTCAGTCTGCAGTAGATTGATGGAATTTTAGAAACTGACGTTACTAAAAAACAATTCCCAATCATTTTGGTCGTATAACAAAAAAAAAAAAAAAAAAAAAGACGCGTAGTAGTTTCCCTGAGTGCACAAATTTTTTGAGAACTTCTCACCCTTGTGGGAATTAAATGTTGAAGTTCTCATCTTTGTTTTAATTTTTAAAACCACAGTGTCTAAGGAGGAGGAGCTGGAAGTCCTAAAGCTCCTCATTCCTCTTCGTTGGAAAAAAAATTCTTTCTTCTAAAGTGTCCCATCAACTATTAACATGCCTAAAAGGTATCTTGAGGTTATGAGAGAAAAGGAAGGACCATCTGATGTCCCCACCCATGGCGGGGGGGTTTGACTAGATGACCTTTAAAGGTCCCTTCTAACCCAAACCTTTGCATGATTCTACCTGAGCAAGAAGAAAATACTTCACTCTCCAGGCCCTTTATATTCCCCTGCATTTGCTAATTGGACTTGTTGAATACGAGGCAGCTTTCTAGAGTAGGCAGAGGTTGGGCATTCAGAAATCTTATTCCTCCATCCCAGAAAGGACAGGATTTGCTCCCGGGCAGCAATGCCATTCGCTGCTGACTGAAGCGCTGCTCCTAAGGGTGGGATTTCACCAGTGAGCTCCAGTCTTTCCCATAGGCACTACACTGGTCACAGTGGTCTTACCCTTTGTAAGAATGAAGCTGAAGTCCCAAATGAAGCTGAAGACCGATAGTTGTTATTTGGCCCTTTCCCTCGGGAATTCAAACCCGCTCAAGTTAAAGGATCAGATGTTGGAGGGTACTTACCGGTGCCTGCTAGCTCTCTCCCCAGGCTGTCCGCACAGTAACAGTACCCAGAGACCTCTGGGAATGTCTTCCGCAAGGAGCTGAATGTTTGGAAAGCCTCTGGAACCCTGGAAGGAAAAGCAGCCTCCTGTGAAGAGCCCGGAGAGGCACATCGACAACAGCAAAGCATCATCTGTGTTTTCCTCCCTAATTTGTACGGCAAGGATGTCCGCACAGCACAAAGCCATTACAAAGCCCTTCGGTCTCCTTGTGGCAACCAGACTCTGACATGATCCAAACCGGTGTTTCAGCAGGCTAACAGGTCTCCTAAATGCCATTTTTTTAAGCACAATTTTTTAAGCAAACACAGGACAATAAGATCTCCCTTCAGATAGATTTCTGACTCTTCCTAAGCAAGTACCCAGAACCTAACACTCATTTTCAATTCTATTCTCACCTTTGAAAGCTTGTCAAAAAGTGTAAAATAGACAGACGTTGGCTTAATGTTATTACAACACCCGTTCATTAGCTCCTTCCACAAATCTGCACAGAATGGCAGAGTGCCTAAACATACAGGTTGCTTCCTCTACCCTACATGCTACGTACGCCTCTGCACTGAATTAAGCACAAAAGCTGATAAAACCCTCACTAATGTTTTTCATTTTGAGAGCATGGCTGAACAGATTCAGGAGAAAGGGGTTTTAACATGTTACAAGTAAGACTGACTCTTACTTCTGGAGATCAGAGACACCGGTTTCCAGTATAATATTCTAGGAGTAACAACAGCCAGATTCTAGCAAAGCAATGATTTAGGAAGCAAACTTAATAGGGTCAGAATTGGAAAAAACATAATAAATGTGATCTTAACTGACAGACACCCTAGGGTTTCTCCAAGCAAACAGAAGATAAGGTTTTCTAGATTCAGGCAATATGATCAGCAGAACAATTTTGCCAAGTTCCAAAACAATCATATTATTTTACAGACACATACCCTTACCCTGAAATACCGTAAAGGTCTGGAGTCCCAGCTGCATGTGGCTTATTTGGGAAAAATCTAACAACAGGAAAATGGAATTTTCTGCTCAAGACATTCAGCAAATTACACAAAGTAGGTTTTTACCAAGGAAGGACACTTAGCAGTAAGCGTAATGGTAGATTAGGCCATGATCAGCTAGGAAACAGGTTGATGTGCCAAAGCACTTAACTGCAACTCTGTGAAATTGGGGCTATGACCAGCCTCAGCTCCAGTGCCACCCTCCTGCAGCCTCAGGGCTGCTCTATGGCACAGGCAGTCGGCAGCGCCCCTGAGAAACGCAGCGAAACCCTTCTCTGGCTCAGAGCCAGCGGTCAGATGAGAGGAGTGGAGTAATGGCCCTTTGCTACCTACAAGAGTCTTCCTGAGAGCTCTGCTGCCTCTTGCCAGGAGAGCTGAAGCCGTTACTGCTCTCTCAGTAGGTCAAAGCGCAAGCTGGGGAATGCACGAAGCAACAGCAACCCCTGGCAGAGGAAGGGGCTGGTAACCTCGGGGTTGTGCTCCTGTCTCAGAGCTTGCACGTCCCTGCGTAGCACTGCTTCGCTCCGGCACTCTCCCACGTCTTCAAATTAAAAGCCCACTGACTCCCTCCACTTGACACTGGCATGCTAAAAGCAATCAAAATGTCATATTTCAGGGCACAAAGGGACTTCTGTCAGCATTAAAACAATGCAATTTAAGATACAAACAGCTAAATGCCATCTTTCTATGGTCTTCTACGTACACAAGGATATAAATGGCTTGGGGCATTTCAAGAGCTTTCTGCTCCCCTAAACTATCATGCACTGGCCACTGCCTAATCAGGAAAACGATCTTTTCTCTTCTTAGGAGAGCAATGCTCTTATATTCAAAGGCAGACCTCTGCACTGCTCATGTCCTTGGAACTCATCACCTCAGCATCTCAACATCTAGCTGAGTGAAACAGGATGCAATGAAAAAATTCTGCATGCTGCTTTCTTTCATCCTCATCGTTAAGAAGTCACATGCATAATTATACGACTTTTATATGGGGCAGATGTGTAGTCATATCCTGTCATTCTGGGTATTTTTGTTCCAAGTTGAGAGTACAGCTAAATAAAGTACAAACGGATATAAATTAGGCCCACACAAACAAGAGAACAGAACTTTTCTCACCTTACTTGGAAAACTCACTTCCTACCGCTTCTTTTCTTTTCTCAGCCTTTTTTTAATCACAGCCCCCGAGATGAGAAGTCATGATACAGAGTACCTCGCCTATCAGACCCAGTCCAAAACAACGGCTGAAGGAAAGATGACTACGTTTAAGTTATGGATAAATTTATAGTGTATCCATGTGTTTCAACAAGAATGCTTGCACTCAAAAATATGGGAAAGTAAATAAATGTGAGGTTGTTGACCTTTTCTTCTCTGCTTTTGGTTTCCAGCAAAGATAACTCATTACTGATCTTCAAAAGCAGGTTTGCAAGTAAACCCTCCTATGTTTCTATGTGCAGCTCAAGTTATAGCTGCCTTTCTCATTGACTACTCAGGAACAGAGGGAGAAAACCAAATCAGGTTTTTTTCCATTGTCAACAAAATAATACATAATAGGACAGAACGCCCAGTGAGCTGGGATAAAGACACTGACACAAGCTCTTCAGCCTGATGAAAATTATAGCAAGAAAGTAAAAAGATCCTCCTCGACTTTTGATTTTTTGATCTTTCTCCCCAGTCTGCTACAGGGCCTTCTATATGGCTGCCCATCCAAGCAGGACCCGGGCACAGTCCGTATAAAATAAGTCAGAGCAGCCAAGTCGCCAGGGTGAGGCAGGAAACCTGGGGTCACCTTTCTTTCCAAAAGTCTTCCTTTTGGGAAAGTCTTAGCTCTAAGCTCCTGAATTTCTCCATTTATTTTTTTTAACATACTGATTTATTCTGGAATATTTATAGAGGTGTAAGGAAACAATGTGGAAAGGGAGTTAGTCTGACATGTCTAGATTTCAAAAATCAGTCTGTGGAACCAAAGTTGCTCCATTGGTTCCACGTGAACATAAAATACGGGTTTAAATCCCTGTTCTGCTATAGTCCTTCGCTGTGGAATTCATCCCTTCAACTCTGTATTCTGGCCTCCTGTTTATGGGCCAGGATAATGACATTTCAGGCAGGAATAGTGTGAAAACTAATATATTCATGACCTCAGATACTCAGATATGATGGTAATGGGTTAAGTCAATGCCATAATTAGAAAGGTAGACAGCTGGGAGTGAAATGATCCTGCTGTGATTAATTACATGACACAGCCACAAGAAAAGCCCAATCTCACAGGCCTTTGCAGACAAATTTCCCAATAGGAGGAAAAAAATGTTAACTTAAAGCACTGCTTTCTCCTCTGTAATTGCTCTTTTAGAATTTCAACACTCCACGGGCTAACAAACAAAACAGCGAAATTACTTCGCTCTTGTCAAAATAACCTCTCCCGAAGCTCTGACAAATTTGCACTCTGCATTTGGGCCTGCCTTTCAGTTTTGCTTAAATTAAAAAGGAAAACCCTCAAAACAGCAACATTGACATTTACAATAAAATGCCTTTGCTATACAGAGCCAAGTCAGAATGAGACATTACATTTACTCCACTGCCCTCCACCGGAGAAATATGTTGGCTGAGATGCCAAGATAACGGCGCTTCGCAAGAGACCAAAAGGCTTCTCTGGAGTGTCTGAATACCTGCACCGAAATGAGCTCCTCTCCCTGTGGTTCCCCTTGTCCATCCCTTATTTCTCCACCTGAGCACTAATTCCCAGCTCCTCCACAGGACAACAGCTTCTTGCTCCCACGGACAAGCACTTGATCCAGAGTTTTGAAGTCTTCCCCAGCCCGCTCCAACCACCAAAAGCCAGTCTGTATGTCAGCACGCCAGTTCATCGCTTGCTGGTTCACCTGTGAGGGCAACCCTGCACTGCCTAAATGGACGAGAGTTTCCCACCGTCACATGGAACTTGCTCTTTGCATGTTGCCACTTGTCCGTCTGTCCATCTGTTTTCATCTCCCATACGGAATCATCTTTCCTACGTCATATATACATTTGAATTCCTCTCTCCCTTTAGCATTTATCTCATTTGCTGTTGTGTGTCTGTCTGAAAGGTAGCCCTGGCTACTTTTCCAAATACAGATCACAATGTGGTATCCACTGCTGTGTAAGGACACGCTGATTAGACTGCAGGGATGGAATATCGGGCTTTTCTAAATGAGAAAATTTAATTCAGAAGAAAAAGTTTTTTACTTGGTCCATTCACTAACAGAAAATAACATCATATGGGGTCACAGAAGAAGGGCTTCAAGTAGAAAAAAAAATGCGGTAAGACACTGACTTGAAGAGGTATGCAGGATTGCCCCCCTGTTTCAGAAACCTACACTCTTACCTGTTATAACTATGAACAAGATCAAAAACCATCATGTCTGTAGTGTTGACAAACTTGCACTGGACAGGCAAAAACTCTCCATCTGCTGAGCACTGTGGTGGGCTCTTCTCCCCAAAGCCATGCAGAATGCGACGGTCTCGGATCTCACAGCTCCCCGGACCTGATGGGGAAAAAAAGTAATGTTTACTGGTGTTTTAACTTCCCAGGAACAGCTGAGTAGCCGTCCCATGGTTTGGAAGGGAGTTAGATTCATTACATTGAATATGGACACCTAGGTACCTCATATTCTCTTTATAACAAAAGGAAACAGAGACTTAAATTCGTAGTAAAGCACCTATACTTCTGTAGGGTAAGCATAGGCTGCAGTGTCCAAGCTCCTGATCTACCACCTTTGATTCACACCAAACCTTCCCACTCTACAAAACCCACTGTTTTGTTGAATTTTACTTACACTGCGTTGGCTTTCCTCTCTGCCTGGTGCCATAAATCTCCATTCCTTCTGGATCTACACACCAGCACTGACCCAGCTCCGTGTCACACTGCACCGGGTCAAATGCCCCTGAATCCAGGCACTGAGGGATGTAGGAGATGCTGCTGCTGTTGATGTAGCGACTGACCAAGATCCTCTGCTTTTGCAGCTGGCAAAAGGATAAACCTGTGGTACCAGAGAGGGGCACTGCTCGAGGAAGGTACTTGTTGGGCACTGAATCATTTATTAAGACAACATCTGAGTTTTCTCAGAGCTGCAAGTTCTGATTCTGCCACCCAGGTGGCATAAGGACACTGATGGACTTGAGGTCATGAAAATTGGTATACAGAAACCCACCACAATACACTAAGTTGATCTTGCATTCATGATTTACATTACTGTGACCTTCATGAATACAGACCATACAGGTTTCCATGATCAGCTCCAAAGAAACTCCAGAACTTCCACTAGAAAACCCCAGCAAATGACAACAAACAAATCCCTCAAAGTCCAGGGCAAACCTATTCTTGATTTCAGCAGTTCAAATGCAGATTTAAATGGCTCTTTACCCAATCTGAACAAAAATAGAAACTTGTGACTTACAAGATACGGGATATCCATTCTGTTTGCTGCCAGGTACCTCAATGCCCTTCTCATCCACACACCAACAGGAAAGACCATTCCTACTGCACTGAACCGTCCTGAAGGAGATCACAAGTTACGTATTTTACTTTGTTAGTGACAGAGTCCTCAGTCAGTATGGGACATAAACCAAGACATAAAGCAAGCCAAACAAGTTCAAGTACTTTAACACTGCAAATAATGGAATCAGAAAGGGCTGTTTCTGGTGACTCTAAGTCTACCTGATGGGAGTTGTTAATTCTAGTAATTCTCTGAAGTCTTCAGGAATTGCAGATAAGGGACTTGAAGTCATTCAGGAAGCAAGCAGGTTGGACAGAATCCTGATTCTCAGTATTTGAGAATTACCATACATTTTGAGACATTTTTAAAGTCAAATCTAGCACGGTCTAGGTCCCCCACACCCTGGGCAACAACAGTAAGATCATAGTAGACAACGTTATGATTTGCACTCCCCCTCAGCCTCAGCTTTAACTCATTAACTCCTTGCATCTTCAAGCAACATGCTGCTCTCCAAACCACTGTTCTCCATGTGCTTTAATTCCTTTACTGCCTTTAAAAGAAAACCCAACTGTGCCACTTACGGCAGGGTGCATAAATTCTCCAAGTCAACTTGGCTCAGCCGTGGCAGCTGGCAAAGTGATCACAGACCACGCACCCATAAGCACGTGCAGGAAGACAGCAGTTGCATTACATGACAACCTGCACCAAGTATTTAACATGCAAATAATGCTGCCAAGATTAGCCTATTAATATTAGATTGACCTCCTAACCCAGAGATTATTTCCAGCAACATGGAGTTCATTCAGGAGAGGCTAGATCTGCAACATGGCTCAATGAAGTCCTTTCAGTCTCCTGCACCCCCCACCCTCCAGTCCACCAATACGGAAGCTCTTCAAAACTGAAGCTAAAGCTTTCATTAGTAATGACAGGTCATGTCGCATAACAGCAGAATAACAGCAGGGATGAGTTACCTGAACTGGCCATCTTCTGAGCACTGAGGAATGTAGGTTTCTCCTCCTGAAAAAGCCTTTTCCCTCTGAAGTTCACATGGACTTAAGGGTTGGGAATCTGTCTGGTACTCTGAAGGCAGCAAGAGGGTAAACACATAAGGGTGGTTTCACCACAAGCCTGTTCTTATCAAAACCCTGTTAGTGCCAACGCTGCGTGGTGAAAGCCCCAGTTTCATGGGTCCTCCCTAGTTGTTTCCCCATCGCTCCTTGCATGCATTTCTGCGTGGGACAGCACAGGGAAGCACTGAACAAACTCACTGGGCTGCCAGCTGCAGGATAAGCTCATGACGGAGATGCTCGTGAACCCTTTCCCAGGCCTGTGTTTAATTAGCTTCAGCTCTGTTCTGTACTGGTATAGCTATCATTTTCTGGTGCCTGAGGTAGTCTATGTACTCAGAGTTAGTTGTGGCTATCACCACAGAACAGCCCTTTGCCATAACCACACACATCACTATAAACGTTTCTGAGTATTTATTTTTTATTGAAGCTAAGTCCCTCACTATTCCACCAAAAGGAGAGGTATTTCTTAATCTCACGAAAGACCTGAAAAGAATCAATGTCTAGGAGTTAGCATCAGGCTAATTCATATTATGAGCACTTCTCAATTTTTACCAGGGCAAGCGATCAACTACTGAAGCCACCTAGCAAGAAAACAGTCGATCCTTCAGTTCTTAATGCATTCAAACCCACATTTGGATGCTGTTTTAGGAGAACGATGAAATTCAGTAGGTTCTTTTTTACAGAACAGATTAGTTGATCTGACACTTTCCCCATCCTCAAAATTTGATGAATTCCATTGACTAGTTCTATAAAAATACAGCAAACAAACAAAACCACAGCTACAGCGGTTCACGTAAAGTTCACGTAATCCAGTATTTGGTCTGAGTGGACCACACATAGTAGTACAAATACATCATAAGTATTCTGAATACTTTTCAGCCTCCAATAATTTGCAGCTCAGGGACTCCTTTAACCACAGATGGTTTCTGTGCACCTAAGATCTCTCAATCACTTCTGTGAGTTTTTACTGTGTCCCCTTAAGCCCATGTGAAAATTTTCACGGGACCGTAAAGGGATTTTAGGTTAGCTCACCTATAGACATCCACATGTAGGAAAACCTCACCATTTTCATCTCAAACGTGACTCTGAGGCAGTTGCTCTGGGACGTGTGGAGATCCCTGTGTACAGTGCTAGAGAGGGTCTACTAAGACATCCAAGTTAAGAGATGAATTGAGTGATTCAAATTGCTTGTTGTGCAGGACTATCAAACTCAGACCAAAGAACTGGGGACGGCACTCAGACTATCCAGTATCTTCAGGTTCAAGCCTAAATTAGATGATGGCACATACAAGTACAAGATATAACCTTAGGACCTTCACATCCCTGCAGCACCACCTTTTCTTACCCAAGTTCCTTCTCTAGCCCAGCCTATTCTTCCAGAAAGCCTTTTTTTTTCCACCCAAAATCCAGGTGTACTGAACTCAGATAACCTCGACCATTTAAACATCCTTATACCTTTGTATTTAACCTGGAGCCAAAACTCAGTTTGCACAGCACACAATAACTTGCTAAGTTTGCAGTGTGCAAGATTCAAGATCATTATCTACTTGGTTGGAACAATACACAGAGCAGCACGAAGATCACAGGAGCGCAGTCACTACTGGACACAAGCAAAGGAAAAGAACCAGGGTACTTACCAAATATATTGGCTGCAGCTACGCTAATAAAGCAGCAAAGAAGGGTGCAAAATGGGATGGAGCCCATCTTGTGATGGGAGAGCTCCATCCCCTCCCGTCAGCGGGGCAGCCCTGCACACCCCACGTAGCCTCCACCAGCCTTTTTATAGCAACCGTCGCGCGGGTGGGCTCACCCATGCGCTGGTAGACTGGCCACGAAATCGGGCGAGTGACGCATACGATGCTTCTGAGAAAACCGCAAGAGGCCCGTTCGCCTGGAACTGCCCTGGCGGGTCCCCTCAGCCGGTTCTCATCCCCGCTCCAGGGAGCACTTCTGAGCCCGCTCATCGGAGAGGAGACAGGCGGCAGCAGGCCCCGGGGGTGGCGGGGGGGCTTAGTTAAACCAACCTGCAAACTGAGCACATTGACATGACCCCGGCCAGAGCGCCGGCCCTCGCCTGCACTGTGGGGCAACCAGACTCTGCGCTCTGTACCAGAAGTACAATTTTTTGGTGTTTCTAGAGAGCCTAGCCTGCTGAGGGGACAGGCAAGGGTTAGGCCTCCAAGCACTGCAGCGCTAGGAGTAAATACAACTCATAATGTGGTTATTTATGAAGCGAAAAACAAGAGGGACGCAGCTCCACGGACTGAAGGGAATTGAGGGTCAGAGTCAATTGCATCTGACCTTTTGCTTTCACTCCCACTTTAAGAAGCCAGGTGTCTCAGCTGCTTGGGCCTCATCCTCCAGGTGTAAGATCAGTGTAACCATTAAGCATGTTAGTCAAGCTTTTTGGTACTAACTACATGCAAGATCCTCGACCTAAAACGCATCAGAAATATTACTTCCTTGGCTCCAGAGTAGTAATTCTTGCTTGTCCACTTCTTATGATTGTCAGTTAGCATTTACTTGCACGAGGAATTATGAGAATTCACCCTCACTTGTGCAAAGGTTTTTGGACAAATGGACTCAGAATAATTAGCTAAATAATAACAGAAGCACACATTTGAGGCTGGACTTAGGCTGATTTCAAGAAAAAGTGACAGCACTCTTGCTTGTGATTCATGGGTACTAGACAGACTAGAAAAAACGCTACTGATACTCTCTTACAGACCAAGATCGTGCTAACAGTGATCCAAGCATCCTTCTGTGTGGGCTGTAGACCACTGCAGTGCTACAGTGTTTGATATATGTGGTAAATGTGATCTCCAACAGCAGCACAAGCTTGCTTTAGCATGACTAGCCTTTTTAAAATGAGTGGGACTATATTTGGATTTTACTTTCAAGCAACCTACTCTGGGCTTGAGGAAAGTCTGCAGAAAGATCAAGCTGGGAAAAGATTAAGAATGTGTCCAGTGTAGATGACAGACCAAAAAAGGCAACCTTCAGAGGCATAAAGAAGAAGAATCCTGTAACAACCCTGATTAAGCAGGCACAGAAAGAAAATGAATTTCTGGATTAGCTTGAAAGGTACATGCAGAGCAAAGGAATCCGACTAGACAGAGAATAGCCAGCATTAGCACTAGGGTGGCTCAATCAGGAAAGATGAAAAGTTGACCATGACATACATTTCTGACTCAAGTGTACTTCAAGAGTCTCAGGCTTGTGCCTGACCCCCAGTGCAGTGGGGCATCACAGGAGAGCAACAAGAGACAGCCCAGCCCGGCGTCACGGGCTCTCCAGGGGCAGCAGGGTCTGTGCCTACTGGCACAGCGATGTTTCTACACCACAGAAACATATCCAGAGTGTGAGTGTGATATTGATTTAGTCCACTTTTCTAAAGTTAGTAAAAACTTGTCATGCAGGTTCCTTGCAGCAAATGGGGAGAGAAGCAAGCTCATTAAGGTAGCCATTCACTTCCCTCCTTTATTCTTTGCTACCAAAGGTCATTAGTAGCTGAAAACAGAGTAAGGCAGACAGGAAACCAAGGAGGTATCAAAGGGCTATTACTAACAGAAAGAAGCACAAATCTGCAATCATCTACATAATGTTGATTCCCAAGATTACTTTTATTTCCTTCAGAAACACTCAGAAAACAACCTCTGAACTATGCAAGGTGGGAAGAACAGCCTAGTCTTAAATGTCTCTTAAAAAACAAAGTGAGAAAGTGACTTTTGGCAATTGGCATCACTTAAACCACTTCTACATCTGCGTCAAACCAAGATGGGCATTTCGGTACATGCAAGTTCAATGGGATGCAATAGCCTGTGAATTAAAAAAAAAAGTTTACAGAGCAATATGTGCAATCCACATTCTTCAGAGAAAAAAAGGCACTTGTCATCTATGGCTGGTCAAATTCAAATAAAGAAAAGCCTCACTGCATAACCTTCAGTGAAGGGACAATTGAATTGACTTCTATTTTTAGCACCTAAGGAAAGATGGAAAAATATCTTAAATTGGCTCACCAATGAAGGGGAGAAAAGGAGTAAGCGGAAAAGGTCCCTGTGGCCAATATGGCCTTAAAACTAACACGTCTTCAAAATCATTGCTCTAGTGCTGGAAATGAGGGTTTTGTTTGTTGTACACAGTGGCAAAAAGCTACTCAATCTATACTATAATTGTTGGGAGAAAGAAAAATGTCAGTGTGATGAAACATTGAAATCACAAACCTCAAGTGAGAAGCAGACCATTTATTCATTGTTCCAGTTTTGCATACACTTTCTTAGCAGAAAAGACGATTTGTGCAACTGCAATTTTTACATATCAAAAAGCTCAAGGGTAAATGATTCCTGTATATGAATACATAAACATCTACATCCACAGAAAAGTTGCTCTCACCCAAATAAAACTTGAGCCTGAGAAGTCAACCTTAGTTTAAGAAACAAACTTAAGGGAGCCTCCTGAATGAGGCAGCAAATTGGAATCAAAAATTTTAAGAACAGAAAACATTGTCAAATTATGCCCATATCAATTAGTTAATGTATTTTTAGATAATAAACTGCTTTTCTGTGTTAAATACATCACCAATATTGGACAATCTTCTCCCACATTTTAAGAAAACTATGTAAAATCATAGACTCACACTGTTTGTTAGCAACTTATTACACTTAGAGATAGAGGAGAACTGTTTTACATTTGGTACATTTCTTCCCAATCATGAGACATTCGTCTCAATTGTCTTCACATGACTTTGGCACAGATCACAATAACAAGACCTTGTGAAGCACTTACCATCTCTATCATCTCTGATTTAAGTTTTAAAAAGTCCTTGTGATGCAAAATTAAAAGATGACAAGGAAAAAAGCACAGCCCCACCAGATAATACAAGTTTCAGGCACTTCATACATGACACATTCTTCAGATTGATGAATGATAGGGAAGTTCCAGTAACTTCTATACTAAAATTGGCTAGATCGGAAAAGTGGGCAGAGCACTTCTCAATTTTTTGTGTTACAATTTAGCAGCTGGCAAAGTGCCTTTGGCAACAAAAGAACCTAAAGTAGCCCATGTAAGAACATTTGAATTTGCCTTTGTCCCTTCAAAAATGAACCATTTCTAGGACATGTAAAATGGCTTTTTTCTTACTTACTCATTGGAGATAATACAGTTTTCCTCTATCTAATAGTGATGCAAGGTAGAAAAATATTTATTTTATTCTGACGACATCTGGGATGCAGATTGTGTTGAAACCCCAAGCAGAAGTCAGTTCTGCAACCCGCGGTGGCGCGACGGATAGATTTGTACACTGCATCGATTCAATGTTTGACAAAAGCAAGCTAATGCAGTGAGAAAAGGCACCGCCAGTCACACAGGGACAAACTTCTGGTATTGGTAGGACAAAATTACTTTTGGTCTTTTCGATAATGCAATACTTAACCTTCTCTGAACTGAAGGCAACAGCGTCCAGTCAATGGAGCCAGAAAGCAAGTTCAAGGACAAACACAATTCCTTCTGCCACACAACAAAGCTGTGGAATTCAGTATGCCTCCTGATGTTGTGGAGAGAAATGAATGAAAAAAGATGGATTAAACTCATCGAGCACAAATCTATCAGCAACTGATAAAACTGATGGTCTTCATAAAGATTTTGGTAAAGGAAACCTCAGTTTACCAGAAGTGAAAGATACATTAAGGGAAAGACCAATTTGTACAGATCTTTTATAGTCAGTATGTTTCTGCAGATGCTGACATTGTATTTCTACTGAAGATAAGACACTGGACTGGCTAGATGTTTGGCCTGACTCAGGAAACCTCTTCTTTAGTAAGTCTGCTAATCAGAAAAAGTGTTTCAGTGTATTACTCCAAGATCTGAATTTGGCCTTTTATCTTAAATTTGAGAGACTGCTTTGAGACTGTCCCTTCAATAACGATTAAAATATCTGTTTCAGAATTAAAATTTTGAAGTTTCTTGCATGTTTAAGATCATACCTATTTTTGATGTAAAGAACAGAAAAATTTCTGTGTTAGTAACTGGTTAGTAATTGGTGATTTCATTCACCTCCCGCTTACCATTTGCGCCCTGGCCCACAGGACGCCTAGGACAGGAACTTTCTCAGCACCCTTTGCTTATTTCTTTCCTACCACAATAGCAGCCTGAACAACTGTTTGTAGGCATTACTAAAATATAAGAAATCACTAAAAGCAAATTGAAGTTATTTTGTAACGACGTTGTGCAAAGGCACAAAACTAGAAACACCCTCAGAAGGCAGACGTCTGCCCACAAGAAGAGATGCCATCACTGTGAACGCGTTGTTGAAAGACTTTGTCTTTCAAGAACTCAAACCCTGAAATTGTTAAACACCAAAGCAGTTCAGGACAGAAAAATCTTCTAATTGCTTTACCACACAGTAAGTAATTCAGTACTGTAAATAATTTACTGACTGTATAATTTGCCTACAGGCTAAAATACAACTGAAGATTCCCTAAAGCTTTGCAATATATACAGATAAATGAGTATTGATGACTGCATATAACTTAGTGACTGCAGGCTAAAAATACAGCTGAAGATTCGTAATGCTTTAAAACGTATACAAGCACTCACTAGCTTGCCAAAACAAAAAAGTCCACTGAATGGGAGCCCAGGCACATAACAATCTCAACAGACCTTTATTGTGAGTATTAGAATGCAGTCAACATTATTGCTATTATAAA